TGGTGTATGGTAGGAGTGTAGTTGAGCTTGTACCTGATGATCCAGTCATAGCTATGGCCTACTGGCTGATGATATTCTGAGCTATTCCCCTGGAGGAAAAAGGTGTGAGGTAGCAGGAACGGAAAAACAGGAATTGACACCACAGATAGCTGTCTGGCTGATTGGGCTTTGGTGTGCTGGAAGAGAGGGAAGCAGGGGTTTAGAGCATGAGAAAGGGTGTGAAGTGGGATGGGCTGGGTTTGAAGCCTTTGAACATAGTAAAGTCTCATGTATCTTCAAGCAAATTTCATCAGATGCCTCTTTTTCCTATAATGAAAAAATTCATGTGCCAACCTATGTTTAATATATTTTTTAATTTTTCAGATCTTATTGCTTTTTTGTGATAATTAATTACATTTTTAGTATAATTGATCATATGTTCCTGAATTTTCCAGTATCTTATTTTCATATATAACTAACTGCTCTCTCTCTCACGCCCACACCCAGGCTGCTTCTATGTTGCTTCTTTCTGTGTCTTTTACTTGGAATGTCCTTGCACCATATTCTGGCACACTTGCTGTCCTTGGAACTGTTCTGTAAGTTATTTATTTTTGTCAGTAATGGTTTTTTCTTCTCATTGAACCGATCAAACCTCAATTATTTTAATCTTTTTAATATATTTTTTTGGCTGTTCATTTCTTTTGACTCTGTGGTCTATGGATTTTAAACAGCTATGTCTTATCCTTCTCTCTTGGTGCTGGTCCCGTGCCTGGCCTTCTTCTACCTGAAATATTTGCTTCCAGAATAAGAGCAAAAGCGGTTGCTTTGTCGTTTGGCATGCATTGGGTGAGTTAGTTATTTCTAGAGTAACAAGTGTACCTCTATTTATTGCCCTCATCTTGCTTTAAAAATCCTTTTTCTTTGCTTAATTACTAGATAGAATACAGGATCAAACCGATGACCTGTCACCAATGAGGGCGAGTGATATGCTGCTAGGCCACAAAGCTATCGGCATTTTAAATAGAAATACTTTCTCAAAAGGATAAATGAGTTAAAATTTCATAAAGTAACCAAGAACTAGTTACCACTGAGATTACCATGAATACAAATTACTGCTTCGTAAAGTTTATAAAAAGCAAAAAGGTTGGGGAGGGGGAGTGGGACCCTGCCTAATTAAAAAAGTGGTGTATGAACTTTAAAACATAACACAACCAGGTTATGCAACTTGGATTCAAATAAAAACATTGAATCTCAGTATATGCTTGCCTTTACTGCTTGAATCTTCCCCATCTCTTTCCTGCATGAAGTTTAGCTGCAGCATAAATTTTGCGCCTACACTGATTATATTGCTTGCCTAAGAATTTTGTTAATCATGAAACTGAATTTTCTATCTTATCAGATCTCCAACTTCGCCATCGGCCTCTTTTTCTTGAGTGTTGTGAACAAATTTGGTATCAGCTCTGTATACTTAGGGTTTGCAGCCGTCTGTCTTCTTGCTGTCATGTACATAGCTGGCAATGTTGTCGAAACAAAGGGTCGATCACTGGAGGAAATAGAACGAGCTCTTAATCCATCAATTTAAGAACTTCCCCAGATTTTCATCTTATCAGAGTCTAAATGCTGCACATGGACTTTTTCGGCAACTCCCTTTGCTCCGCAGGATAACCATTGGTCTGCCATTAGTGATTGCCAGAGGCTAACTCAAGATTATGCCACAGTTTTGCTCGTGGAAATAACAGAACCATCCATTGTCAACTTTGGTGAGCATCTATGTTAATGGTCACAATTTTATGTTTAATAGATATTAGCCAGCGAGAACATTCTCACTTCTATTGGCAGATTGAACAACTAGAGTGTCCCGCTTCAAAGTTGTGAATTATAATTATGCTTGCATGTGTGATTTACCCTTCATAATAATGAAAGCGTTGTGATTTTGAAAATAACAAGACTCTAAGCATAGATTGTTTGTTAACCCTTTTTGTTTTGTTTTGTTTCTTGGGTGGGGGTTAAACTGACATAACGACTTCTCTCTTAGAGGACCTGATATAAATAGGTATCTCTATGCCACTTATCCTTGACGATATCTTTGAAGTCTCCTTTTTCAATGCACACTATAACAGTGTACGTGAGTTATATTGCACAGTAAAGGACTGGAACTTTAATTTTCTGGGAACAATTCACGCTGGAAATGTTTGGAGTCGAATAAGCAAATGAACTTGTTGATAACCTGGAAAGGTGAAGCTCACCTCTAGAGGTGGTAATATGAGTCTGAGGGTCCAACCCACCAAAAGGTGACTGGTTGGGTTTGCAAAATGGAAGCCTGTTTTGAGGCAGGTATTTTCAGCTGACAGCTTTAATTGAAAAATTAAAAAAAATATTACAGCAAATTTAAAAAAAAAAAAAAAGAGTTGGGTTGGCGGGCCTGCCAATTCATCTTATGACAAGTTCGGGTTGGCTAAATGACAGCCTATCTTAGATCTTAAAAGCATGCTTCTTGACTCACTAAAACTGCAACTTGCTGCAAGCCAACTTGCAATATGCAGTTGGTTTGCATTATCAGTTCTTGCTTGGATGCGCAGGTGTCGTTGGTCCACTGTAATTAGAGGGAAGACTACAAAAAGCACACGCACAAGATGTGAAAGTGATAGTGGTAATTAGCTTCAATGATGACATTACGAAGATAGGGTTCACAGAAGATGACACTGGAAAGTAGAAACTAGTAGGTATTAATTAAAGTGGCGAAATGCAAAATTCGTATCAAGTCAAATCATAAATGATGCGAATCATTTTTCAACCTCTATATAATGAATGGAAGTTTCATTTGGTTTGATCAAAGTATGACTGCCTCATACGCCAAGTGAGATTAAAGAAATTTCTCAGACGTCCCATATTTCCACTCTCTGCTCATTTATTCGGTAGTAATTATCTCTATGTGGATTGTTAGGTCATGGTTGGGATCTGTTTGGCGGCTACTGCGCGTAGCAGCAGTAAGAATGGTATCAACAGTAACTTTTTCTTTTCGTCTACCAGCAGTGACATCCACTTTATAGGAAAGGACAAAACACAAATTAGTGGAGGAAAACCGGTAACTTGCTCTGCACTCCCTAATGTCCTAGCGTAGAAGTTTGGTGATTCATTTACAGATATTTTTAAAAAAATTAATTAAGTTAATTATTAATAAAATAAAGTATGTTGATTTTTCTCAAATAACATTTTAATAATTTGTATTGGGAATTACTTCTCGATGGAAAATCCTCCTAATATGTGCAATCAATAAAAAGAGTTTAGTTCGGCAAGTTGCTCTAATGCTAATACCACGAGAGCCATACTTGGACGACGTTGACATATTTGTGTACGTAAATGTGTTTAATCGTATAAAATAAAAAAAAATCAAAGAGATTTTAGGGAAAAAATTATAAATGTGGAAAAGAAAAAGCAGATTGCAGTTTGTTGATTAAAATAAATCTTATATTTATGACCGAGTGTTAGGGGGAAAAAAATTATTCCTTTTCTTTTCTTTTTGACCCTTTTAGTCCCCACGTTTTGCTTCTTCCTCGCTGGGGCAAGCTGTCACATGCTTCTCAATCACAATTTTTCTGTACATATTTGACCAAACTATACCTTATTTTTGAAGATTCAGACGAAGACGAAGAACATAGCTTCTCACTTCACATCACAATATAAAACAACTATAATTACTTTGTAATTGTGGCTCTGCGAAGTCAAGTCAAATAACTTGTGAATTGAGATATTTGGACGACTATTTGAAATCAAATTAGGCCAAGTCTCAGACAAATAGGTAGATAGCATGTGTGTGTCTTTATATATTGATGCAGATTTAATTTAACTAATTAATTATTTTATTATTGTTTATTTTAGATCGTGGGTAGTTACTCCATTCACCCCACTCCCCTCATTTTATTCTTTCTTTTATTTATAGTTTAGGGTTTCAGTTTGTAATCAGACTTTGGCATTTAGAATTGATGATCGGTTTTTCTGGTTCTCATTCTTCTTCTTGTCTAACTTCTCATCCCTTCAATCTTTTCTTGTTCTACATCATATATATATATATATATATATAATATGAGAAAGTCAGATTTCAGACCGAGAAGCAATTCAGTGGGGTTAACGTTAAGTGAAAGAATAACTATGAAATTTGCATATTCAATTGCGTCGCTCTTGGGTTGCTTTAAACCGTAATTAGAGGAGCTAACACGTGAAATTTAGTAATTAGCTCCGATTTTTCCGATAATATACTAAGTCAAGTGAATTAGGCTTATTCAATAATTATTATGGTCTCCATACTCCCAAAGCAAACCACTTCCCAGTTACGTGCCCACCTTCCTATTCACTAACTTTTAATTTAATTTATCATTTAAATTGCTTAGACGCATATGACATACATATCTACTCTTCAAATCTATCAACTCTATATATCTTTTAAAAATTCAATTAGTATATATTTATATAAATATATATTATATAACCTTCATTTATGATTTAAATTCAAATCAATTTTTTTTACAAAATGCAATTATAAAAAGAGTGACACAAGAAAATTAAAGTTATATGGAGTAGAAATTTACTCTCCGATTATCCTTTCTTTTTCTAATCTCCCCATACATTTCTAATTCGGCTGATTTATATCCGATAAGAAGTGGATTTAAGAAGAGGTAGTAAGAATATATCGTAGGCGTAAATTTCTAACTCATGGAAAATTAACGAAAAGGTCCCTTTTCGTTGATGCAGTGTGTAATGTTTGTTTAATTGCAAATGGATGATTATGCCTAATTCTTATATTATAAAAATGGAATAAATATTTTGCACGTATATATTGACCTCTTCACTCCAATCAACATCAATGAGAAAGAAGCTAACAAGTTGCTGTATGTTAATCTTTTTCGGTTCTCTATTATTGTTTCTTGACCAGAACAAATGAAGAAGGAAACAAGTCTGCTGGAATTGAAACAATTAAAGAAAGCTAGTCCTCCATAACTTGAGCTCAAAGTGTTCTCACAAATCCCTTTTGAAACTTATATATAAGAATATCACTCTCTGCTCTCTTTCCCTATTTGTGAGCGATCAAGAAATAGTTAACAATTATGGAGCATAACCCATTTCTCAGGATTCCCAAACCATCCAATATTGTTCATCTGCGTCTAAACCTAAACCTTTTCTATCACTTTGTCTTCTTCATTGTTGGTATCTCACTAGGAACAGTAGTCACTTTGTATTTCAAAACCTTTTCTTTTCATTTACAGTACTTTCTTTACCATGTAAATCCAGCCTCCTCAGAACCACCGTACCGGCCACAGGCTCCGACACTAGCCCCACCGTCGACACAGCCGGAACAAAACCTATTAATGTCCGGCACAAGTATCATCAGAAGTACAACGAAGGTGTCTCTCATGCATAATATGACAGACCAAGAGTTGTTCTCGGAAGCAATTAAGGTACAAGGAATGAAGCAGGATGATGATTTTAAGAAGAAAAACCCTAAAGTGGCTTTCATGTTCCTAGCAAAAGGTTCACTGCCACTGGGACCCTTATGGGAGAGATTCTTCAAAGGCCATGAAGGCTTCTACAACATCTACTTACATCAGCATCCTTCTTTCAATAAAACTCTCCCTGAAGATTCTGTCTTCTTTGGCAGAAGAATCCCTAGCCAGGTTAGCAATATATACAATACAATTACTTTTATATATTTACACAGATTCAACTACCAACCTTTTTTACCTCATTACAGTAAGGATAGTGACTGTAATTTCCCCCAATATATGCATCTATCCTGTTAGAATGAATGAAGGAAAACGAGAAGAACCCAAAAATGTACTCCTTCGTTCCTACATATATATGGAGAAGATATAATTTTTAGGTGGGCACTGCTTTATTTAAAGATACACCTAAAAGGATGCCTGAAATTTTAACTAACATTTTTTTATTTTAACCCCAATTAGTTACATGCTATTTCACTTTAGTAATTACCTCTTTTTCTTATTTCCTCATTCTATTACTCTCTTTCCACCAAAAAAAATTATTTTTGAAATATAAAATATATTTTTCAGTTGACTTCCTTTAACCAATTTTTTTATCCAAGTAATTCAATTATTTGTGTCTTATATATAAGATTGAATGTTGTATTTTACTATATTCTCCACTTGTCTTTAAGTGATATCCACATAGGAGAGTATATAGTGAGATGATCTTTGAAATATAATATAATGTTGTCTTCAATTTGCAGCCAGTTTTTTGGGGAACTTCAACAATGATAGATGCAGAAAGGCGTCTTGTAGCAAATGCGCTCTTTGATGACATCTCAAACCAACGCTTTGTTCTTCTTTCAGAATCCTGCATCCCTCTTTTCAACTTCAAAACTATATACAACTATCTCATCAACTCATCTCGCTCTTTCTTAAGCACTTTTGACGACCCCAGAAAGCCAGGTCGGGGACGATACAACCCTAAAATGTCACCCATGATCAACATTACCAATTGGCGAAAAGGGTCTCAGTGGTTTGAACTCCATCGTGATCTTGCAATCAAACTTGTCTCTGATACCACTTATTACCCTATCTTTCAGAAACTATGTCGTCCACCTTGTTACATGGACGAGCATTATATACCAACATTTGTGCATATGAAGTATGATAAAATGAACTCTAAACATAGTATTACATGGGTTGATTGGTCGAGGGGTGGCCCACATCCAGGAAGATTTGGATGGGGAGATATTACAGACGAGTTCTTGAATCGAATTAGGTATGGAGGCCATTGCACTTATAACGGTAATGTCACCAATGTGTGCTTTCTTTTTGCGAGAAAGTTTATGCCAAATGCATTGGAGCCTTTGTTGAGAATCGCTCCTCTTTTGCTTGGCTTTGATCCTTAGATTATGTTCCTTTGATTCGTTGCCATTTTCATAATTTTATATTCTTTCACCTTTATTCTTTTTCTTCTTTTCTTCCCTAATAAAAATTTAGAAAAGTTGGATGTGCAAAAGTGCAGAAGTTTAATAAATAATTCAAAGCTAAAAAGTAGAAGAAAAGTAAAGAGATCGGTTGGGAAAATCCAATTAATTTTCAATGTAATTTTTTGGCCTGATATATTTTCAACGTGATTGAGAGGTCATAACTTTTAATTCCACGTGTGAAATTATTTAGAAAAATTTCCTACTTTTAGTGTAATCACTTGATGATTTAGGTAATTTAATTGAGAAAAGAATAACAGACAACAATTTTTTTACCAACAAATTAGTTGCTTAACTTTGAGTATTCTTAATTGTTTAATAAACGGAACCAATAACTAATTCGCTGATCAAAGAAAAGAACCGATAAGTAATTCATGATTGATTGTGTTTCACTTTAATATAAAACCCAATGTGTAAGAGTTCTTTTTTCAGCCGCGAATATATAAAAGTCAAAAATCAAAAAGTTGTTAAAATAGGATTTGAATATCCTCAATCATGCCTTCATTATCAACCAACCATTAGATTGTGATCTGACGGTGTTGAGGGAGGAGTTACTTACAATTAAAAACTTCTGATTTTTTAAATAATAGATTTGTAACTCTTCCTAGATCACAGTATATAGTGACTAATATCTCTTAATTGAAGTTCAATTAAGATTTAATTTTTTCAGTTGAGAGATCCAAATTTATTAAAGGATTACATATACTTACAAGCTGAATGAAGTAAAGGAAAAAAAATAACAGCTGTAATTAAATACCTCCCAATCATCCTCGTGTATGTTCGTGAAAATACTTATCTTTTTTTTTTTTAATGACTTATCTTTTTTTTTATAAATATATAAAGAATGTTTTTATTTTCCTTTTCATTTCAGTGAAAAATACGCATTTGTATTACTGTCTCGCCGCATATTTGGGCTTTTTGCTTGTAAAGAAAATATCATACCTCAATCAAGGAGAGATTGATGGAAAACACTATTCTTGTCCTCAATCAATTCTGTGCCTATGATCTTTTCCTTCACATTTGAATTGTTTGATGACACAAATAGGTTGGGTCTAGTAAAAAAAAAAAAATCTATTCCCTCGTAATATGGCCAATTATGATTAGAATTATTGTTGGAAGAAATATCTATATTTAATGCTCAACAATATCTCGAATAGAATTACTTCTAATAAAATGATAGATATAATTTACAAGTCGACTGTTATCAAAATGTTTTTAAAGTGTTGTAATAAATTCTGGTATGAGATTTTGTAATTTTTATGATCTTTATGTGTCATTTTTCCTATTTAAATGGAGTTGACTTCTCTCCATATCACATTTTTTCAATAGAACTTGATCATCATTCGGCGTCTCTTCCACAAAAAAGAAGGTGCTTGATCAAAAGTGCAAAAAGATCCCACTACATCGTGGGAATACTTAGCTAAATGATCCACTAACAAAACTCATCCCTAAAACACATGATTGATTTGGACCTTCCACTCCTTGTGAATCACAAGCCTAATATCATTGATATTACTCCTCCGGTCCTTAATATAGGATTTAATTGTTGAGTTCATTTTAGTCCTAAATATAATACCTATTTTTTATATTTATCGATTTTTGCTAAATTACCCCTATTGATCTCCCTTAACCATAACCAAATAGAAGAAAGAGAGAGGATATTAAGAAAAATAATTATGGTATTTTAGAAAAACATATCATATTTTTTATGATTAACTAACTTACCTAACTTCATTAATCTAATCAAATTAATTAAATAGGTCTTATATTAAAAACCTGAGAAGTATCACTATAAGGATAAACAACATCACACCCTCTTGTTGCAAAGTCTATAGCCTCAATGCAATCATAAGCAAGAATAATGTCTCGAAATCCTTTACTCCCAACACATACGAAGTCCATGTAGCTTGGCTCGAAGTTCTGCAATTGCAGCAGGAACCATCGTTAGTTTACCAAAAAAACCCACAAATCCAATTGCCTTCCCCATGATGATCATTTTCCATGCCATGTCGGAGAGAACATTTTCTCATGAGATCTAAACCGGCATCTTGCATGTTCATCTCAGCCTCTACAAGCTCTCAATTTCCATATCATATTTCAACTATTAGATATGATCAGATATTTTTTTAATAGTTGAAATTTAATATTTTACTATTCCTTTTTTATAAATTTTAAATTAATGCTCCGATTAAATATTTTAATAGTTTGAATTTATTTATTCTTTATGATTTTGTATCTTAATCATAACAATTTCATTTGTTAACTTTTTAGTTTGAAAAGAGAAAACTTTTAGATAAGTAAAAAAGAGGATTTCCCAATTCATCTGGACAAATTGATAGAAAGCCCAAGTCGAATTGGGATTGGTAAAAAAGAGAAAGCCCAAGTCGAATTGGGATTGGATCAGAGAAAGGCCCAAATTGTTTTATGTAAAACTATCTTGGGGTTGGAAACTCTGAGGACGAAACTACCCCGGTATATAATAATTCTCGGACAGAAGTACCCTCGCAATTTTGCGCCAAATTAACCATAACACTTTTCTGTTCTCACTCTCATCGACCTCCGTCGCCGTCGAAGCTCTCCCCTCTCGATTCTCATCAGTTCGAGAAGCAAGTCGCAGTCTCGCTGGTAAGGTGGTCGACCCTCGCTCGATTCTTTTTCTCCTATTGATTGAGACTCTGTTAGGTTAGCGTATTGATCCTGTTCATTACCCTCTCCTCCGCCGCTAATTCCCGTATCTCTTATAATATAGACGGGATGGAGTGATTAGAGGTCGCGGGAGAAATGGATAACAGTTGAACCAGAGGATTGTTAGAAATTATTTTCTAAAGTCTTAAGCATCTCTGATAATGGTTTTGCAAATCGGACTTCGTACTTTACGCCTCGCCCGAGCGCTATGTATGACTTTGTAACTGCTATACCTGCTTATTATCGTCCTGCCACTGGCTAAATAGTTTAATGTGCCCAGTTCCCTGACTTTTGTGTATGCTCAGAACTCGCATATGTTTGTATCCATAGCATTTGATTCTATATTTTTGTTTTCAGAGGGGTCTCTGTCTCCTATATTTATTATATGCGGCTGAACCCAGTATACTTGCATACGTTAAACTGAATTATTTTATATCTCTGTATAATAGGTTGCACAGCTATGGCACTATCTGAAGAAAAGAGAGTACTATTGCGATTGTCGTGTTGGTGGATGAGCATGGCTGAGGCAGTGTGTAGGTTTTATTTTTGCGCGTGCATAGCTATCTTGTTAAGGAGGCGACGACGAAGACGGGGTCTAATTGAGCAGGCTCCATCAAATGCAAGTTCAGGGCTCAGAAAGCGAAAGCGAAAGCGAAGCAGTGTTGATGGTGATGACTTGCTACTCAAAGGCATGGAGAAGATTGCTCATACATTAATTGAAAGCCTCAAGGAGGCAAGTGAGCGTCTGGGAATGCATATAGGTAGGGTTGAACGTGAGAAGCGCATGGATGCCATGAAGGAGTCTCTCTTTGTTGATCTTATGAAGGTTGAAGGACTTTCCCACCAAGAGCGTGTTTCAGCTTATGTCAAGATGATTTCTGATGAGAGCATGCTGATTGGATTTTATGCCATACCTCAAGAGGCAAAAACCGATGTGATCCGCTATTATTTGTGTGACTGAATATATTGATGTGTGATTTTTTGTCAGATATAGGGAATATCTTACTTGGGTGCTTCGATGCATTGAGCGGCACCTAACTCAATCTTGATTTTGAGTAAGATGTTGGGGTATCTTGCATGACTGAACTTAAATGCAGAATTAACTTGTATTTTTGCAGAATGAAGATGAACTGTCATTTGCTTTTGGTTTTAATCTTTTGACTGGAAGAGTTCTCAAATACTCTTTATTGACTGTCAAGATGCTGGATATGAATAAGTGTTTTTGCTAAGCCTGAAAATTAGTTGCTGTAACAGTTCTGAGCAAGCGCTGTATATATGGCTATAACTGGTTTTGTCTTCTTTTGTTATGTATGTAGTTGCTGTAACTGATTTGTGTACTTCTTTAGTTATGTAGTTTCTGTGACTGGTTTTGTCTACTTCTTTTGTTATGGTTGTCTGTAATTTACAGGAGTTAGTTAGGACTTAGACTTAATTCTAACCATATAAGAACTTAACTCGCTTTATTTTCTGTATTTATCATTTTTTCTGATTAATTTATCTAATTTATGAGCTTATATATATGTATGTCTCAGATTACATAAAAATATCTTAGGAAGATTATGTCACGTTTGTTATAATAAACTAATTTATCTAACTTTCTCAAACTATTCAAATTAGTTAAGTAGTTGTTATATTAAGAACCAAAACAAGTATAATTAAGCAGCTCCCCTGGCTTTATTGTGATTAATTAAGCAGCTCCCCTGGTTTTATTGTGATTATGTAACTGGTTTTGTTTACTTCTTTTAATATTACGTTTGGTTCTTAATATAAGATATATTTGATAATTCAATTTGAATTACAAACTAGGTCTTATGTTAAGAATACTATTTCACACTAGTTGTGCTCTTTTTGTTACTGTCATGAATCTGTGTCTTTTGAACTTTCAGGACAACGCAACAGGAAAATATAAGCGGGTGTCATTTTGACAGTATCACGATTCAATTTCTCAGGGTTCTCAAATTAATTGCTGCAGTAGGTGCTCTTTTGCTCATTCATTCTAAATATGGCAACTATGCTGAATTTTTTTTAGTAGACAAAAATTTAAGTGAGTTGGGTCTCAGGAACTTCTCAAGGTCAAGATATATCTCCAGACTCAGAAAGTACCTACAAAGATACTTACAGATTGCTATTAACAAGATGTTCATATCAATAACAGGATTTGGACTCACAAACTTGTGAGTTATAAACTGATTCCTTACCAACTAAACTAATTTTTGTTGGTGAGAATTTATTTTAATTCTGAATATAAGATTTTAATTTATTTTATTTCTTAAATGTATAATTCTTTCATTAAAGTATTTTTTATTGATTTCACATAGTAAGGAAAACAAGTTTGGGCCCTCATTAGAGTGATGAGCACCCCAACCTCAAGATTTGAACCAGCTGTATTTGATCCGTACGGTCCGGATTTTTTTATAAAATTTTTTTAAGACAATCATTTTATAGGGTATGAAATTTAAAATAAGATAATCTCTTAACCATCATTTTAAAAAAAAAAATGTTTTTTTAAAAAATAATTAATTTAAAATTTAAAATTTGGATGGTTCATATCTAACTTGAATAGTTCAAATATGAGCACCTGACTTGTTTTATGCTACTTTCGGTCTAAAATATCATTGCTAATCAAGTGTATTAACTAGAACCATAATTATTAGAAGGATTATCATAGAAAAAATTAAGTAAATATGAGAGATAAAGTGGATTGGGGTTTTATATTTAGGACCAAAATAAAAATCAAACAGGGTTTTATATTAAGGACCGGAGGTAGTAGTAAATGGTGTTTTTATTAAGGGATGGTTATAATGATTAGATACCAATATATATTTATTATAAATTACTAACTTAATTAATTATTTTAATATTTAAAAATTAATTATCTATTTTTTAGATTTTGCTCTATATTATAACCGTATTCCACGATATTGCAAAAAGATTCGAGAAATGGAATTCACACTGGCGAGCTTGTTTCTATATTTTTGGGGCAGGAGATTTTTTTTAATATATAATTAAATTTCTTCGTTTGAAAACTCATGATAATTTTTCCTTTACACCCACATCTTTTAAATTAAAGATACTCAAGTGGGGATCGAAGAGGAGTGGTCCAAATCAAATAAACGACAAAAAACAACTTACTGAATACCTTAACAAATGGGGCCGTACGTCCTCCGTTGGATTAATGTGAAAAAGGTCAAAGAACCTAAATAATGGTAAGAATGAAAACGAGTGATGAGTGGGGCAAGGGGAAGAACATAGCCGTGTAGAAAACGCAACTGGGTTTACGGTACAATTTTTTTTTTTTTGGGATCAAATCTATATAAGTTGGCTAATTATAATTAATCTGTGAAGAATTTGGGATACCTCTTTTATAATTCTTACGTTAAATTCTTTATACTCATATGTTTTATTTTTAAAATATTAATATTTAATAACATTTAATTATAAATTCATATGAAACAAAAATACACACATATGTGATAGGAGAATTTGATATAATGAATATAAGAAACTTGACTAAATTCTTTTTAACTTTCTAAAAATGCTCCGACTATTTAATAATTAAAATTTATTGTATAAAGACAAAAATGTCTCAATAATTTAAATAAGAGAGTTATAAAGAGTAATTTAATATATAAAACAAAAGAGACTAGTGCTCTTCGATAAAACTTATATATCTGTGAGTCGAGAAAGTATTTGTTTAGTATTTACAACTCCTTAATCATCATCTTTTGATCTAAAAAATTGACAGGTTCTAATAGTACTTTTTATTTAAAACATCCAATTTGAATTCTCAGTAATATTTCCATCGATTTCATCATCTTGTTGTATAACTACCCTCAAATATTAGAATGTTGCCATTTGAGAAATGGTTTGGTATCTCATTTTAACTTTCAAATCATTTCTAATTTACCTCTTATAACAATAATATAATTAAAATATACAAAAATATTCATAAAATAAACATTTAAATAAAAAAGTACTGATCCACAAATAAACGGATAATTTATATTTAAATCACATATAATTAATAAAAAGTTATTAAATAATAAATATGTTTTTTTGCTAAAGCATAGATATCCTCCTATTAGAGATAATCCTATTCGAGACACTGTCGGGCATTAAATACAAACACCTCTCTCAATGAAAATTCGATCTTTGGTTTATCACGTTGTGAGGAACTAATCCCTTCATTTTTGTAAGTTGACCCAAAATAAAAAAAGTAATTGTCTATTTCCTTGTTTTGGCACTCAAATGTGATTGTCCATTTCATTATGGAAATTTTTCAAGTCATTTTCCCAATTACAAATTCACATAACCTCAGGTCAAAAAAAAAAATTCACATAATCACATGCAGGGACCACTTCTCTGATCTGTCATATATCACTGAAGAACAAAAAAAGTAGTGGGTCCCAAACTCCCTACTCACACGTGCTCAATCCATAAATTAAAGAATCTTCCCCCCTTTCATTATATCCCGTGACTCCCATTTTAGATCTCTCCCACCCTTTTTAAGTTAAAAATATTATTAAAATTATACTTACAAATTAAATTCCATGTGATTTTACTTTATTTGGTTTTTTTTGCCATCATTTGCTTTATTTGGTTAAAACTATAACATTTAATCGTAAGTAAGATTTATCTTTAGTTTAATTTATTTTAATATTTTACTAAATATCTCTTATTAAGTTGTAAAAATAGTTTTTTTAAGTTTTAACTAGTAAACTAAATTAAAGATATCACAGGCGACGAAGTTATAATTACACGTAACTATGAGATACTTTTCATTTAAAAATAGTTTTTATGTTGTAGAGATATATATATATATATATATATATATATAAAACTCGCCCTAAAAATCCTAAGAAACAAAATTTAAAAATTCCACTGTATTTTGATTTAAATAAATTTTTGAGTGGTTCCTCTTTCTTTTTTTTTCTAACCTTGTATTTCTCCTGGACAAACATTCATATGTTAGAAACATATGTTAAATTAAATTGATTTCATTATTATCGTATAAATTATTAAATTTAAAAAAATAATGAAAGTGAACTTTTAAAAAAATATATATCGGTTCTGTCATACATACAACTGAACTGTTATTTTAGAACCTTTTGACCAAAAAGAACTGTTATTTTAGAACATAACTTCACCTCTTGATTGTTGCCCAAAAAAACTAGAAGTTTATACATTTCAGACCAAGAAACAAAATTTTTCTTTTTTTATCAATTAAAGGCTTGCTTGGATCTGCAATGCATAAACACTTAAATTGAAACAAAACTTTTTTTATATACTTATATTATATTTTTTAAATTATTATTAAAAAGTTATTTTTAAGACATTCCAAACCAAGTGTTTGTTTGGAGTTTCTTATCATAACCACATTTATATAAGTTAAAACAAAATTCCTCACACATACTTACATAGTCATGATTAAAAAATTTCTTTTAAAGATTTCAATCACCATTCTAAGCAAGACATAAAAGTAGTACTTAATCAGGTAATTTATCATGTAAATATCTTTAATATTCATCATATTCTCTATTTTTTCCCCTTGTGGTCTTGCAGTTTAATACAACAAATTAATATTACCTCTGATCTTTAATATAAAAATTAGATAACTAATTAAAAAAATTAGTTAAGTTAATTATTTGTCACAAATATATGTTGATCTCTCTAAACTATTCTCTTTAATCATATGCATTTGATGATTAAAATTATTCTTTTGTAAGAACCCTTTATAATTAATAGGGATATTTTAAAAAAGATTATAGATAACATAGACTGATACTTATATTTATGACTAAATTCAATTTCAACACTAATTTTTATGTTAAAGAGCAAAGGTAGTAATAAGTTAACCGGCAAAGTTTTGGAAACTGTTAAATCAGGGAATGATAAGTTCAATTGACAAACAAATTTAGACATTAATTATTGGCGTGTTTGGCAAGACACTAACGAGTACCACTCACTCTGGTCACATTCAAGTAGAATTTACTTAATAATTTTTTTAATCATTCTAATT